AGATTTCATTTCCGATTTGGTACTTTTACTTCTAATGCAACCTACCTTAGTCCAACAATTTTAAGACTTTTGAACTCTAGAACTACCGCGATTTTAAACCTTTGAAGGTTCGTTTCAAAATCCTTCATTTTTTATAAGTAGATGAAATTGTTTTCACAATCGCGGTTTGAAATATTTTTTTCGCTCTCAAACTTCCAAATTTTGAAACTTTTGGTTTTCAAAATGAAATATAAAACCGCGAAGCTTAAAATTTAGTATTCATATACTACATACTTAAAAATTGCAAATTCCAACTGCATTTTAAAGCTTAGAACTGTTTACAAGTTTAACGTTTTATACCTCTGATTAAAACCATCGTTTCTACTGATGCAATGATGCTTCAAAATTTATAATTAAAGGCGGTAATCGGAAATTTAAAGCTACCAAGGTATTTCTTACTTCGATTTCTACTTCCTGTTATAATCGCGACTTTTGATTTTTTTGTCTTTATTTTTTTTCAATTTGAAAACCAATGTTCTTCAGATAAAACAACTTTTTTAAATCTTTCCACCCCCAAACATCGAAATGATGACTCATGGGATAATTTTTCCAATTCTACACTATATAATTCGAGACGAATCTAGTATTTAGAGAAATTCACTATAATACCTATTTCGTTTTCTCTTTGATACCTCCCCTAGACACTCCATTTTCGAGATATCCCCACTTCATTTTGCATTTGTGAGTACTCTGCCCCGAGACACCGTTTTCCGTAAAGTTGTTTTTATTGAAAAGGAAAATTATCATGCACACTGCCGACCGATTTTTAAAGATTTAAATATTATGCCATTTTCACCTATTTTTATATACTAAACCGTATTAGAAATTCATTAAAACCAAAATAGTTTTGAGATAAATCACTTTTACCAGCTACACATCGTTCCTGAATGTGTAGAACTTCTAAATGTTTTCAAATTCAAAAGAAATAAAAAAGCGCAAATTAAGCCATTCCGTTTATAACATACAAGTGAATATTTACAAAGGCCCGGGTTACCTAGTCAATAATTTTATTATATTTTTTATTTTATTAATTGTTAATAACTGTATTAACATTTATTTATTTAATATGTTTGTGTGTCATACCACTCTTTTTGTCGTACCACTTCTCCCTCTCAAATCCAACCCCCCAATTTCCATAAGGGAGAAGGGCAGTAGTAGAAAACAACTCCTTTCGTTGAAACTTTTCAATAGGATACCATGGAAGATGAAACTGATGTCTTACATTCCCCCTCCTCCAACCACCCACTGATCGATCTCCACAGGGGTCTCGGAGGAAAGTTATAATTGGTAGAAACCGTCTGCAGGAATATTTACTAACACAGAAAACCGGACATTCATATGTTCTTTGTAATAAAAATGGTACAAGAACCCCATTTTTTTTGGAGATTTGGTCAGTTTTTAGGCTGTACTTTTTTGGCTTGTTAGTGTACGTAGCTGAAAAACAATAGCGACCTTTGATATATCCTTAAGAAGAACATGTGTATATTTTAGAGTATTTGATACATATCAACGAGAGCTTAAATTGTAGTAATGATAACAATATTGCTGATTTTAGATAATGATAATGCCATACTGCTCTTAAAGTACTACAGTATTGTAAACACGATGGTATTGTGTTGGTTATGTTACCTCCCCACTGCAGCCACAAGCTTCAACCCCTAGATGTCACTTATTTTGGGCCATTTAAAAGTTGCTACAACAGAGCTATGGATGAGTGGATGATAAACCATTCTGGAGTTCCTACACCTTTGTATAAGTTAGCAGAAATAGTTGGTAAATCTTTTGGGATTGCCCTTGCGCCAAGTAGTATAATAAAAGGTTTTCAAGTCACTGGAATTTGCTCTTTAAATTCTGAAATATTCCATATTACATAAGTTCATGTGTAACTGCTCGTGATCAGTCTGTCGTCGAAGATGTGAACGAGGTCGTTGAAACAAGTGTTCTATAAAATTCAGGACCTAGTTGTTCAGGAACAAATTTGAAAAAAAACTACTCTTCTTGTGCAGTTAAGGATGAGAAGTGAGTCGGAAGTTTTACGTACGAGGCACCTTAAATATAATGTTAAAACAATAAAAACGGGAAAAAAGCGTGAACGATAAACCGTCAATTGAAAAATATGCAACAGTCTCCCCTACATTATGTTTGCCTAAGACATGAACGAACGGCAACAGGGACCTACGTTTTATACTCTTTTCCATTTAATAAATATTTTCCCAAAATTCCTTCCTCAATATGGTGTACACTTACTTAAACGAGGATTCGGAAAAAATACAATGGTAACGAAATTTTGCATTTCTAAAAACATACCTAAGTATTTTTCTTTGCTTCTATATGCGTTAGTTGCAGAGAAAAACATTTTTAAGACATGCAAATTTTATAACTCTTTGGAAATACCCCTCTCAAACGAAACGTTTTAGACCGTTGCAGTTGCAGCATTAGATTTTGTATATTTCTTGTAAGTTAGCAGTAGATCTTTTTATTTTATAGCATTATGTTACATTGTGATTACCATTGCAAGGGTAGATAAAGTGAAACAGATGATTGTGCATTCTAATGACATCTGTCATTCTTATTTCAAATGGGCCGCGAAGCACGATATTGAATGACGCTCAGAGCGTATGCCAATGCTGTTTCTATGGAAACGATCGCGACGGCAGAACCTAAGCTTGTTCAGTATGGGGGTTTACAGTATAGTTGAATTCCGTAGTTCTAATTTAATAAGCGTGTAAAAGTTTATTTAAAAATAGAGAATGATTAGCAAAAAAAATAATGAATTTGTGCGGTTTTAAGGGTTTATTCAAAACGATATGATTGTGGCGGGCTCTGTGACGTAATAAACCCGACAGCTCCTAGAACCATTCGGATGACATAACGAATTGGCAATATTGCAGGAGAATGTCATTTGTAACTTGCGTCACAGGCACTTGTCCCTTGTCGTTCACTTTCGCGTTTGATGCAGTTAAACATGCCTCTTAAAACGTCAAATCCGACAAACGTCAGACCCTTGCACAAGGTTGCCGGCTCACTTATGCTTGATTGGTTGTATGTTTGTGACGTATTTATTTAGACTGAAGCGTTTCAAATTCGGACTAAAAACAAAGCTTTTCAATAATTTATTTTGGGTTTATTTTACTCGCAAATAAAAATTGAGGACACGCGGGTCTTTTTAGTTTTAATGTACTTTGTAGATCAGAAATAAAAAATGAAGCCGGGATGCCCCCATTGTCAGAATCTTCTGTTATAAGATAAAGTTTTGTATTATACACGACGATAAAGGGAAACTAATCATCTCGTGAAAGTTAATTCGCTCTCGTGAATTAACTACACTACAACACTATAAGAAACCCTTAAGTATTGAAATAACGTGTTAACTGCCTTAGCTTGTAAACTGTTATGCTAGTAATAATAATCTACTGTTTCTCGTCCAAGATATCATAGAGAAATCCTCATTTAATTCTTTTGAGGAATGAGGATTTCCAAAGTAACAGCAAAGATTTGTTATTATCGTTCGTTTCGGGAACTTTTTAAAAGTTTCGACAACGGAAACAGGTGGATTAACGAAACTTTCTACGGAAATAATTACTTAACGTCTTAATGCAAACAATTGTATCGCATTTGCTAAATACCCTAAGAAACTGTTTTCTTTTACATCCAATCAAACAAGATACAGCTACTTATCCTACTATCCCCGTTTACGAGAGAATAAACGAATCGCGTGTACCATGCGATCAAAAATGTGTTGCTGTCGAGTCACCTTTGAAATGTTTGTTTACATGGTAAATCGTACTTAACTTCAATTTCCAAAGGCGACCGACAGCAACTCATTTTTGATCGCCCGTTATAAATGTATGAATATCGTTCACTTTTTTCGATATTTTTGCTTTTTAGGGATACTAGTTTCTTTATAGTTAAAGTGGCGAGTGAAATTTGATCTCGCGGAAAGATGAAGCTACCAATTTTTGCAACAAATTCATCCGTACTACGAAAACGAAACGCTTTCGTCGTAGGAAATAATCAAAAGTTCCGATTTTAATAAGGAAGTTTATTGCGATTGATTTCCCCACAACTAAAATACCAATTGACAACGTCCATAAAAGGTTTAATTTAATGCTGTTTACGGAGATAATGCTACAAAAGCACTCAATCTACAAAGCGACAAAGTATAAAAAGAAGTAATAGGTAAGATTAAGGACAAGTTACTCTTCGTGTAACGACTGGACCACACACATCAAAGAAAATTTCGAATTAACTAGAAAATTACACCTCGCGGGCACAAGACATTGTGATGAAAATTAAAATTTACTTACTTAACCTGATCCGATTATTAATTATAGGAATTAAACTAAATTACAATATTTTACTACAATTTACACCGGATTGATTATAACTATTTAGCGTAATAAAAATAATTGGCATTTTGATGAAATCACGCACGCCAAACCTTTCATCCAAATTTGAAGCATTCGCTACCCAGAAAATCTTGTCAATTTTTGGCAGTTATTTGGGAACTTTATGGCTTCGTATCGTTTATTTACAATTTTATGGTAGTAGTAGAGGTGAAAGTGAAACCGCATAGTCTTTCAGCCCAACAATGAATCATGCAAGAAGTGAACCGTTTTTTCAACTATTTAAAAATGCAAGTATTTTTAAAAGCAATTAGTAACTCTGAATTGGAGTCAAAAAACCTTTAAATATATGCAAATGTTAAATTTAATCATCGTTTTATTGTTGATATATTCAAGTTGCTGATGCTTGTAATACTATTAGCTTTATTTAATAACAGATTAGATGCTGAAGATATTCATTATCTCGAACGTTAGTAGAGGAATTGCATCACTTTAGGTTTATAATTGTGGTGTTCTGTACCTATTTATCTTAGAATTATAGCGACGGTTTTCTAGCACATTATTAAATACAGTTGGCATTGACATTATTTTTGCAAAAAAATATGAAATTTTCACCTGAAACTGTGGATGGAGAAAAGCAATACGCAAAGCGCCAGCACGAGTTTCGAACCCGATCCGCTAGCTTGCATACTGACCCCTCATCGGACGAATGGTATCATCACTAAACATTACAGAATGGCACAAAAATTCCACTGATAAATATAAACAATAGGTTAACACCGAGAGCGACAAAAGTCGAGGTTTCATGTCCGTTACACATGACTCGCGATTTATAATCAAATTTGGACAGCTCTGGGTGACGTTTCCGCACACACCTTGTCTACGTTCGAACTGTCACACGTTCATATCTGAAAAAAAATTAAACATTGTTTTAGGTTCGTACTGCTCTACAAACAATGCTTTATTTGTCGAACGTCGTTATGTTCTATTTGGTTTTGTATTAAGGCACTTCACACATGTTTATGGCTTAACTGAACCGCATTATTGCTATTATTGTGTGTTAATGATGTAATTATTAACGAATTTTAGACACAAATTCGTCAGAAATTTTCGCGAGAGCTTTTGAGAGTTTTTCAAATTTTTCGCGAAGCTCTCTCCGCGTATAGAGATGCGGATGGACCCGTTCTACGACCTGAGTGAAGTGGGCCCAATATCAGTCTCACCTGCCCACCTGTACCTGGACACACGAGCCAATCATTTCAACTTTCCCCACCCCACTTTACCCGATCAGATATCGGTAATATGTAGGTGATAATCTATGAACCACTAAAAAAAATTTACTCCAATTTTCAAATGTATGCAAATTTTAACGACCATTTAATTCTTATCGTTATTTACATATCTATTCATTAAAGTTTTCTAATTTATCATACGTACACGTTAGTGGTACCTACGCGCAAGGAGGAGGGCTTGTACTTTTTCCGTAATTTTATCGCTTAATTAAGTTTTCAATTACAAAGTATAGCTACTTTTCTTTTATCGGAAAAGTTATTAATATATGTAATGTATATTGATCGCGTGTTAACACCTCCCGACAGCTACACGTAAACTAGTTTATCGAGTGAATTCTTAAATTTATTGTTATGAAAAATGAAGTTGTTGGTAATACTGTAATACTTCAGTACAAATTTCGGGATGGCATTTCAGTAATGAACAATTTCCAAAGAGCAGCGGAATTGGAACGTATTTTTTCTGGTTATAAGAATGTCACTAATGGACGCCAACAACATTCTTTTACGTACTCATAAGAAAATGTGCTCAACAGCGTTTTTCGTACCTATCTGATAATTTAAATTTTTCCCGAATTCTTCTGAAGACTAAACGGTGTTTGCACATACTTAACGCGTTGAGTTTTGCATTGCGTAATTGTTCACGCCTCTACCTGACATGATTGTAATCAAAGAGATGGCGATTGAAAAATTGAGAAACCTAAGATCGGAGATTCCTTTCCCAAACTGTTGAATCAAACGGCAATCATCGCTAAAATCGACACCTCCGCTTGATGCGAACGAAACTTTGGATTGTCGCAGAATAAAATAACTTATTTATTTATTTATTATCCCTCTCTTGTTCTGGGCCCTCAACAGCCTTGCGCCCAATTACAGAGTGACCCGCATAAAACTAATGCCAGTAAAATTAATATTTTCTCTTAAATATCATCGATACGTAACGCAAATGAATCAATTTGTCTGCAAAAGTCTTGGCGTGTTTCTTCACAATTAATTGTTTGCCAATAATTCCCAACAACAGGTTGCATGCTTGCAATCACCAAAAATTCGTGTACAAAATCCAAACTTCCAATCTGCACTGCAGTCCAAATACAAACTTTCTTTTTACAATGGTAAAACATTTGCTACTATTCACCTCTCGTAGTTCGTACCAAAAATGTTTCGAATTAAATTCACCTCCCTACTCCTCATCTCATTCCTGTTCCCTTCATCACTAATGTCAGTTTCCTTATTAAAAAAATTCGACCTTTTTACTTCTAAATCTGTATCCCATTGTCCATTAACCTACTTATCTTCCTTTTGCTTTTTACGGTACTGATTTTCATTAGCCGCCATGTACTTCCTTATTCCTGACCGCTGCAATCCCTATGCCCAAATGTTTATCTAGTGTGTATCACTTAAACATTTAGGCATAGGGATGTAGGAATGTATGTATGGAAATTTCTTGAATGTTCGCTATAATTAATTCATTGTAGCAAACATTCAAGAAATTTCCGTAGACATCGAGGCACCATGAAAAATTAGTCATGGGCGATAGAGAACGAAGGCGGAGGTGATGTAATCTTTCCGAGAAATGTGACGTGTTTGTTCGAGAACATTATAGAAAGGCTCGGAAGTGTCGGGAAGCGTTCGAAAACTATCGAGAAAGGGGGGTTTTGCTATATAAAGAAATCGAATTATGATTCAGGGCAGTTCCAACATCGATGCGTTCTTGATATTTATATATCATTGTATGGGTCTTATTAATCCATTTTAAGACTGTTGTAAATTTATTGTTCATTAATTGTAAATAACTAAACGACGTTATTAAATTTACGTTACATAATCAAACATTTTTCCCGACTACCGATGTTCCCATTCTCTTCCGTATTGTTTCCTAAAATGTTCCCCATAATCCGTAATTGTTTCGCCTACCGTATCGTACTAAATCTGAGTACCACTTTCATTCGCCTCCTCGTACTTCGTAAACTGTGTCCCCTAAATTCGCCCATTATTCATAAATAATAATTAATGCTTCCAATTAGTTTTACGAAATCATAGGATGTTTTTTTCGTTCCTTCTTTAACTTTTCTAATCTTTCCACATGTCCCCTTAAACCTGCTATGAATTCTATATACCCGAGAACCCCTCTCGTTTTCAACTCCTCCTTAAAATGACACTACTTAACTCCTGGGATTATACAGGGTGTTTTTTTGGGAGCTTTAGTTAAAAGTTTCTGGGAAAGTAAAATAGGTAGGATTTTGAAAATTTGTACTTAGGAGTTACTCTGAAGGCCGAATCGATGTAAAATATTTTCAAAATGGCCGCACTTCCGGAAACACCGGAAGTAGATAGTAACTTCGTTATTTTAAATGGCAACCCCTATTTTTTATTGCATTTTTGGATTCTACGTGAAATTTCAGTTCTTTTGATACCCATATGTCATATCTGCCATTTATGGTTTTTAAGTTATTTTGACTTTAAGAAAAAAAATGGCGGATGCAGATGGTACCTTGATAATTGATTACTTGAAAAAGGTTATAGTCATGGCAACCCATTTTTATCAGTGCATAGAGAATGAATAGGGCTTTCTTTTAGTGTACTTAAAACAAAGTTAAGTTGCGTACAACCGCACCTATGGAGATCCAAATTTAAGAAACTTCAAAGTCTATAAACTCAGTTTTTTTAAATGGAATGACCATGTTCTTAATATTGCATGAGATAGAGAATCGAAATTGGCATATTTTGATATTACATGTTCCTATAGCTATCTTTAACATTTTCTGATTTATTCCCATTTCATTGAATTGATGCCATTTTTTTGCATTTTCATTTTAGTAGTTGGCCGTGATTTTATAACAATCGAATTTTAAACAAATCAAGAAAAGGATTCTTTAATATCATTGATTCTAGTCTAAATAATTCATTAATAAATAAGTCATTTATTAAGGATATAGGACGGATAATTTTTGAGAAATCTAGACAGTCGTTCAACTGAATTTCTTAAACAACGTATAAGTCTGGAAATTAAGAGAGGTAATGCGATATCTGTTCTAGCAACAATTCCATACCAAAAATGTTTCAACGAAGTTTTTTATATTTTGCATTGAATTTATTTTGTTAATCTTGCATTTGCAATTCAATTCATTTTCTTAAATATTCTCTTGTAGAGCTTTGTATAACTTGTGCTTCAACGGTTTGTAGTGCATTAGGGGTACAAAATTTCCAAAATTCATACAATTTCGTTCCAGTTTTCGAATGAATGTAAGGAAAGCACGCGCCGCGATTCTGCCCATTTCACCATAAATAACAATTAAATTCCAAAATAGGTGAAACCACTGCGAGCCATTTTTCGATTTTTGAAAAACTTATGTTAACCTATAACAGTGGGTGATGGATTAGTGTCACTAGATTTGTTTAAAATTCAATTGTTATAGAATCATGGCCGACTACTAAAAAGAAAATCCTAAAAAAATAGTGTCAATTCAATAAAATGGGAATAAGTCAGAAACTGTTAAAGATAGCTATAGGAACATGTATTGTCAAAATATGCCCATTTCGATTCTCTATCTCATGGAATAGTAAGAACATGGTCATTCCATTAAAAAAAACTGAGTTTTTAGTCTTTGAAGTTTCATAAATTTGGATATCCATAGGGGCGGTCGTACGCAACTTAACTTTTTTTTAAGTGCACTAAAAGAAAGCCCTATTCATTCTCTATGCACTGATAAAAATAGGTTGCCATGACTACAACCGTTTGCAAGTAATCAATTATCAAGGTACCATCTGCATCCGCCATTTTTTTTCTTAAAGTCAAAATAACTTAAAAACCAGAAATGGTAGATATCGACATATGGGTATCAAAAGAAGTGAAATTTCACGTAGAATCCAAAAAAGCAATAAAAAATAGGGGTTGCCATTTAAAATAACGAAGTTACTATCTACTTCCGGTGTTTCCGGAAGTGCGGCCATTTTGAAAATATTTTACATCGATTCGGCCTTCAGAGTAACTCCTAAGTACAAATTTTCAAAAACCTACCTATTTTACTTTCCCAGAAACTTTTAACTAAAGCTCCCAAAAAAACACCCTGTACAGTGTGTCCAAGATAAGGATGTCTATCATAAGGATCTCGGCAACCATAGAAGATACGACGATGGATAAATTAAAGAAAAGTTGCGCAATTAAAAAGTTTTTATCATGCGTCAAACAAAACCAGAAAATTCCGATTACTTCAGAAGATGTGCAAGATATAAACCGAAATTTTCCTTTCGTTTTAATTTTTTCTGTTATTTGAACATATTCAAAAAATAAAAACACGTTCTCATTGCCGCTTTTTGAGCTCTACAAGACACGATTAAGAAGTTATTAATACAACGTTTCGTTTCGAAAAATCATCAATTTAATTTTTTTATATGACCGGTAAAAAAAGTAAACCCACGGTAGGTTTCAACAGAATGGTGCACCCGCCCACAACGCTCTAATCATGCGAGAGTACCTGTCTGACAAGTAATTTTCCAGGAATTTTGTCCGATTCTCGCATGAATTGAGGATTATGTGAGGGAGCACCATCCTGTTGAAACCAACAGTTTCCAACTTTTGTTTTTTTTTTGTTTACCGTATATCGTTGTATTCGTACAAAAAAATCTACTCAATACAGTGTGTACTTTTTTACGGGCCATTTTAAGAGCGATTATATCAAAAACGGTGTGTCGCAGGAGAGTAATGGAGTTTGCGTGCCCAAAACATCTAATTCAGGATTACGCAAAATGATTTCACTGTTGGATAATAGGAAGCGATGAATTTGAAATATAAAAGGGCTTTGAACTCAGTCGATTAGTGTCTCTGAACGAATCCAAGACATTGAGGATAAAATATAGTGGATGTAATTAATATAGCTGAGAACGCTTTGGTGTGAAATTAATTAATACACTTTAAATTAAC